AGAAGAATTGTTTTCACACCACTAAAAACGATCTTAAAGACACATGGTACGCTCACACACATTGAGGGTGTATGAGACTATCAGCCCCCCAGCTGTCGATGTGTCGTGGTCCCCCGCCCAAACATGCCCAGGAATGGAGATACAGGACCGTGAAACACGCTAATTCCTCCATGCTCCGCCTTACACCTTTTTGCGGCGCAGATTCCCGTCCTTCATAACATCCGTCGTAAGCGCGCGTGTCGCGTGCGGCTCCTTGGCACTTTGCCAAGTCCTTTAATTGCGCTCTCAAATACAAGTAAAACGCAATTTCCTGATGCGGATAACATTGGAGGTGCTGCAAAATAAGAACAGAAGATGATGACGAGGGTCAGAACTTAAAAGCAACTGTGCCACTTCTGCAACATCCCTCGGAGGCCGCGTATTTCCACGAAACATGAAAATAAAAACGGCATACTCGTTAGTTTGATACAAGCAAAACGCAATTTCCTGATGCGAATAAAATTTTAGGTGTTGCTCATGCTTCAAAATCCATGTACAAGGAGATGAAGATGACACAGGCTAGAAATGAAGCACAACGATGTAAATGTAAATAAAACAAAAATGAAAAAATCAAGGAAAGGCAAATTAGATAAACTGCCTGTAAATTTCTACGATCCGGCGCCAAAGCCATAGAAATACTTAGAACAAACGAGTGGGACGCTTGGATTGTTTTTATTCTCATGTTTTCTGGGAATGCGCGGCCTCTGATGGATTCTGCAGGATGCAGCCGAGTCTGGTCCGTCATCATCTCTGCCTCTTATTTTGTAGCACGTCAATTTATCACGCATCAGAAAATTGCGTTTACTGTATTGAGAGCCGGCGCATTAAAGGAGTTGGCAAAGTGCCAAGGAGCCGCACGCGACACGCGCGCTTACGACGGATGTTATGAAGGACGGGAATCTGCGCCGCAAAAAGGTGTAAGGCGGAGCATGGAGGAATTAGCGTGTTTCACGGTCCTGTATCTCCATTCCTGGGCATGTTTGGGCGGGGGGGACCACGCAGCAAACCGACAGCTGGGGGCTGATAGTCTCATACAAACTCAATGTGGTTGAGTGTACCATGTGTCTTTAAGCAAACTCAGAAGTACGTGAAATCTGGGTCCCGGCACCCAAGGTCAGCATCCATATGACAAAATGACCGAGTAAAGCCTTCACCTCAACCCCATCAGGCATCTTTGAGATGACTTGAAGCATGAGTCAAAGGAAAGAAAACCACCAACACGAGTGAGCACTTCTATGCATTTTAGAGATTCTGGAGTTGGATATCCGCGAGTACTCCTGAAGCTCCTATAGGTCGATGTGTCGATTCCACTGTTTCTTCGTTTTCTGGTCTCAAGCTTTCGAATCAGCTACCGGTAGTGAAGCCTCACTTAGCGGGTTCTGGCAATCTCTAGTGGCAACTACTTCGCACTATCAAGCCAATTAGCACCTACAATATCACATCTTGTCAGTACCCATCACCCTAATATATACGGATTAATTTAACCAGCTAATTAACCCCACACTTAAATGATTCTAGTGCCGCACGAAATAATTACCCTTCTTACGCGAGTATCCCTCTGACGGACAGCAAAGCCAGCCCACAATATGAAAACACAGGTCTGACCTCGACTGCCAACCAGTTTCATTCATTTTATGCTCGTGTTGTCTTGCGATTATGAAGAAACACCTCATATTGCTGTGAGTTCCTCGTTTTCCCCGACCTCGCTATGCGCGCCGTACATTGAACGGGTTTTGGCAACATGGGTGATTCTCCATGGAAACGTCCGACGAGCAGATGGCGCTTCATATGAACACATAAAGCAAGGACGCATACTATTCGAAATGAATTGTATTTTTTTAAGAAAAAAAAAGTGTAAAACGGGGTGCGGGGTGGACGCGAAGGTGCTAACGTATTTGGGGGGACCACGCGGCTCGCGGCGAGTGATGACTCATCGGCTCTTCACTCATCGGCATACTTGAAGCGCGATTCTAGCAGTCAAATTAGAATAAAACAAACAAGGTTCACCGGGAACTTGCTGAGAAATCCCACGGAAGCCGGAAAACAAATG